GAGCTTCTTTTTATTTGAAGTAACATGAATTTGATAGAATCAAACATTGATTTCCATCTTGTATCATTTGGACAATTCAGCACTTGTCAATTATATCAGCCATACATTTAAAACGATTCCGTTTATTCCATACAATCATACATTTAGCTATAAACACTAAAACGTGGAACACTGGCAATAACAAATTACTATCATCATTTATTGGGTTTTCGTGTTGATAATATATTTTATATTTTAAAGCTTTTAACGACCACTAGTCAGTATTATAATTTTTAAACACTAACGATTGTTTTCCGATTTAAGTATTTAAATAATAAATAAAAATACTAAAAAAACATATTTGGAATACGTACTCGAATATATATATTTTTTTATTGCATTTAGAATAGTATTCAAAGACAAAAAAAAGTATTAAAATACTTTTAATGGAATATTTGACAAGACTGTATCGTAACTAAACGCAATGCGGATACAGGTATAATAGAACCTATCTAGATAGAGAACAAAATATACACCAAAATAGTAATTGTATAATCATATACTTATAAATTAAAAAACAAAATTAAAGTTAGGAACTTACGTGCGTTATTTTACCACGTGTTTTAGATCCATCAACACATAACAGTTTATTTACGGAGCGGTTTTTTACGGTTTTTTTTTTTTTTTTTTAATAAATACGATATTCACAATAATTGTATATTATTGCAAATTATATATACTTCTATATGCGTATATTTTTCAACCAGACAACATCAAAGTGGCGAAAAAAAATATTATTATGTTTTTAAGTTAAAATAAAAAATGAATTAACAGAAATATGCGAAAACATATAAATATATATATATATATATTCATTTTTTGAATATGATCGGTCCTTTGGAAGATGAATTTAATTTAATTTTTGAAAGTATCAGATGAGATCCAGTGAATTTTTTTTAATTATTTCCGTACGAGCGTGTCAGCATTTGATGAGCTACTAATTGTGTACCTTGACTGTTAATACACAAATTACTAATTTACGAATATTGAAAATAAAACAACAATCTGTCGATTTTTATGTTGTAAAGCACAACATACACGCATTTCTGGCCACAGTAACTGGCCAAGTAGGGCCATGGCCCTACCACTGACCTGACCTATGATGTAATAATATAGTTGTTTTTCATAAGCAGAAAATATTAAATAATGGCAATATTTTAAAGTAGTTTTGTTATAGTGTTGTAATCATTTAAAGTTTTTAAATATAGTAATTAGCACATTTTAATTTTTTTTTTTTTATTACGAGTATTTATTTATATTTTGTTGAAACCCCATTTTTGGTGGCCCTACCTTATAATAGTTTGCCTCCCTTTAATTCTACTTAGCAAAATATTTTGGTGCAGCTACTGCATACGTGTTTATTCATTTTAATGTATTTCAACAAAATGCACAGTAAAATAATGTTTTGGTGTTCCTAATCAAACCGTTCCAGTTTCATTATTCTAAGTTAGATCAGACCATCGGAATTACATTTTTGGAAATCCAATTGAATTAACCGTCTATTATTGCTCGAGCTAACGGTGAAAGGCACCGGAACCATATAATTTAATACATAGGTAGAAATATATAGTATTATATGTACTCGTACTAGCCTGTTAACAGTAATATATCTTTCAAATAATCAAAAAAATTGAAATATCACAACAGTTTGAACAAACTTTGAACACATTAAAATAAATTATAAAAATAAAATTATCATCGAATCGGATCGATAACCAAAAGGTCTACAGTACATAAACGTGCTAGACAGACAAATCTAAAGATAATACAGGTTATTTATTATTATCTGTACTTCACAAAAAAATAAATAAATATTTGATAGTCATGCCCCATTTTAATCTTTTGACCGCTAATGTAGCTTCATAATAACTATTTCAAACATAAGGGATAATAATTATGAATAATTAGTAACTGTTAATAAAATCAGTGGACCCAGTCTGTTGTGACTGGTGTACCGTAATTTCGCCACGCAGCAATTCGACGCGGTCATTTGGACGCCGACAATTGGTCGTGTGTCATTTTGCTGCATAAATATAGTATTTTAAGGGTTCTGTCATTGGACACCGTTCCTCCTCGTACTATTCATATAAATATTCTCCATATCATTTATCCTGTTTGTTTATGGTATATATGTTACAGATTGTACATCTAAATATATATTTATAACTATTAACGATATCATTATTTTACAATACAACTCTGATAATTTATCATCATTTATTTATTATAGCACCACTAAATATAAATTAAAATATTACATTCCAATATTATCATTTATAAAAAATAAAATTATGAGATACTAATTAAAATCCACCTATGAGAAATTTTTTTTCATTTGAACATATATTACGTATATTATCTACACTAATATGATAAAGATATAATTTACAGTACAATCAAATTTTATTATATTAAACCAGTCAATGTAATTATTATTATATGATATTGTTATAAGATAAGATATATGTATAATATATATTGTATATGCATTTGCTATGCAAATATCTTTGCAATAATACTTTAAGAATTTTATATAATATAAGAAAAAAATATACTTTTATGCGATAACTACATGTCGATACTACCGCGACGAAATTACATATATCCGGTATAGCTATATTATATTTCATGAATACTATCCTAAACTCGTTTTAGAGAATATTTTTTTATTGATGATGTATTTTTAAAAATATAATCTAAATTTATAATTACAATAACCTATTAGTTGTTGAATACCTATTACTGTTGGTTTCCTTTTACAGTCAACCTCGATTTTCGACCACTCGACACAAAACCGTATTTTAATTATTTGATTATGTATAAATGTAAAAATTTAATTTTAGATATTAAACTAAACTCGTTAATATTAATTAATGCCATTTCTCGTCAATAATGTTAACTTCATATTTCTCATAAATTTGAAAAAAGACAATTCAAGTTCAACTTAACCCGTTATGTCGATACATACATTTCACAAATTTCATAAAATGTACACGAATATTTTCATCGATTAAGATGAATTAAAATAATTTCTATGGATCATAAAGAATAATTGGATAACATATTTATATTTATTACTCTAAAATTATGCAACCAATCTTGTTAGCAATAACTGAATATTAATATTTATAAAGAAATGTTTTTACATCAATATGAAACATCTCATAACCGTACGATTGTAATTTATAAAATTAAGCTATACTTTAAAAAATTAGTCGTTTACATTTTCAGAATACTAATATAGAGAATACTCAATTTTATGATTTCCCTTGATAACATATTTTTTTTTAATTCCTTTTTTTCATTCAATAAATATCACATTATCTCCTGTCCTCACCAAACTATTCAAAAGTTACTATTATTATTATCATTATTATTATTGTCATTATTATTGTAAAATTGACAGTTTAATACATTTTTCTGTATGTAATTCGAAGATATTTATATTTCCAAAGTCTTTCAATACTGCTACCTTAGAAATAAACTAAGAATAACAAAACTATTATTGTAACCAAAACTAAGATTTTGAAGTGTTTTACATTTTTATCGTAGAAATAATTTGTTTTATAAGTGAAAACTATATGCTATATAATATTCGCTAGTATAACTTTTATTCTATATTTTTAACTCAATTTTATTATTTTCCCAATGATAAATATAATTTTAAAATAAACAAATATATCATTATACACATAATTATTATTAATAAGAATTTTCATATAACACCGATGGATATATTTTGGAAAAAATGAAACGGTTTTTAAATAATCTAAACAACGTTAATGAATTCGAAAAAAAAATATAACAAAAACATAAATAAACAAAACACATAATTATAGAAAAGTGTTATTTATTGTCTCATATTACGTCGAAAATATCAATATTTACGATACCTACATTATAATATTCATGGTTATCTATAATTATAATATATTATTATGAAATAATTTGCTATTGCTATTTTTTAGTATTCATTTTTCGAATATTTAGATGATGAAAAGTTGAATTCAAATAATGAAATACATAAAATTAATGTTCCACGAACGTTTCGAGTAGTTTTTCTCAAACTGTTTTCACAAGGATAAAATCTTTCTATTAATTCAAAATGTTCAGTTCAATAATTTATCCAGAGTCGCTCCTTTATTCTCTGCACCATTTGAACACTCGAAAAATGCATTTCGAATGTAATTTACTTCCAGAAACTGTAGGTCGACTTACGCTTGAAATGAGATAAACAGACTTGTTTACGTTTCAACGTTGTTTGCTTATAAAAATATATTCTCGGTCAACGAAATTTTCTAAACAGCAATACGAAATGAAAAAGTATCAAGAACGTGTTACAATTTTCCAAACGCAAAAATCGAAAGTCGCCTCTGTAAAGTGAACAAGATCGATTTTGTCAGCTCCGTCGTTTCGAAATGCATATGATTATAAATGGCTTTTTTCCACATTTTTTCACAGTATATCGGCAATGGGCGATTGTAAACTTCATCAGAATATCAGTTAAGATAAAGAGGTAAATAAAGATCTAGTGTAAACTCCCCCAGTTTTATTTTCTTACCTGTAATGGATATATGTAAACTCCGCTAGTTTTTTTTTTTTTGTGTACCTGCTCAGTGCTTACATTACCACGTGCCTTCTCACATTCGCTGCTTACGAATTGCGTCCCGTATAAAAAGGTATAAAAAGGTATAATACTAATTGCGTCCCGGGTTTTTCTTGAGCACGTCTGAATTGCGTCCCCATTACCTGTGATATCTTTAAAGTCGAAATTATTGGTTATTACTTATTATCAATTTATTATAGATTTAATAAAAACGATTACGTTAAAACTTTGATAATTTTATAGTGAGTTAATTTCTATAGACAAACACAATTATTGTCGCAGTGCAGTGTAAACGGTTCACTTATTCACACGTGTTACTTTTTTTAAACCAAGTTTTCAACTTTTAACAATCACTATGGCGAGTGAAATGAAAACCATGTTTAGCGAAAAACAAAGGGATTTATTTGTGATTGGTGCGTACAAATTTCGATTCCACAAGTACTTAAAAAAAAATAATCTAGAACGGTGGTGTTGTTGTAAAAAAACCTGTACAGCTTATATTCATTTGAACTCCGATAATGAAGTAGTCAAAAAAGTTATTGATCATAGTCATGGTGAAGAAAACGAAATATTGAACCGTCAAATCGTGAGTAATCAATTAAAACGAAAAGCTATCGACGATATTTGCGAAAAACCAAGTAAAATCATTAGTCGCGAATTACTTACACATGATGTAGATACTTTAACTACATATGATTTACAATTGATCAGAAAAAATATGCATTATGCACGATCGTCTATTTTGCCCAAATTACCAAAAAATTTGGAGGAACTTCAAACTTCATTAGACAATATGAGCGATTTCTTATTAACCAATCGTAGTGAAAACTTTTTGTTGGTAAATGATAAGGAATCGAATATCTTATTATTTTCTTGTAAAAGTAACTTAATGTTTTTAAGCAATGTTGATACAATTTTTGTTGACGGAACTTTCAAAAGTTGCCCAAACCTTTTTACTCAAATCTTCACAGTTCATGGCTTACAAAATGATAAATATATACCACTATTATTTTTTCTACTTCCTGATAAGGAATTAAAAACCTACGAAAAGGCATTTTTCCACATTTTGTCTGAATGTAATAAAATCAATATTATATTTTCTCCAAAAAAAGTGTTTGCAGATTTCGAAAAAGCAATACATTTGGCTATTTTATCAGTTTGGCCTTCAATAACTCTGAAGGGATGCCGATTTCATTTGGGCCAAAGCTGGTATAGGAAAATACAATCAATTGGCTTAAGTTCTGAGTATAAAATTGACAGCGATTCAAGTAAATACTTGAAATATTTTTTTGGATTACCGTTTCTTCATCCCGACGAAGTGATCAACTGTTTCACAGACGATTTAATATCTATTAAACCGTTAGATGAAAAAATTGATATATTTACTGATTATATATTAGAAACATATATACTACCAGAATCTAGTTTCCCGCCTTCATTATGGGCAGAATACTCGGCTACTACTATGAGAACTACAAATAGTTGTGAAGCTTTTCATTCTAAGCTCAACGCGATGTTTTATAATGCACATCCAAATATTTTTCAATTTATTGATACTATGAAGAGGTTACAAACAGATATTTATATAAAGCAACGTAGTATTCACTTAAACAATCGCACAACCTCGATAATTAAAAAAGAACAGTTTTTAAAACAAGCAATGGCAGATTTTGAATCAAAAAAAATTAGTAGGTTTAAATTCCTAAAAAAGTTATCTTTTAAATTTTTACCGGTACTATAACATTTTTATAAAATTAAAATTACAAAAAAAAAAAACAATACATTTTTCACCAATAACGATAATATTTTTTATACAGTTACAATTTTTTGACAAAATACAAAAACAAAAATAATATATTAAGCAAAAATAATATTTTTAACCTACCTGTAGTAGTAAACTAGTAACTATTACTACAGACAGTCCTAAGTCTGTATAAAAATGGGAAGAGAAATATTGTTTAGTTTTTATAATATACGAGACTCAATTGGTACCTATAAAAGTTAAAAAAATTCGGGACGCAATTAGTATGACCACCAAAAAAAACCCGGGACGCAATTAGTATGACCTCCAAAAGAACCCGGGACGCAATTCGGAATGAATTTTTGCCGCGGGACGCAATTCGTATGCAGCCCTCACATTAAATACGTGAACATCTATTACGATGAAATATCTCGAAATTGATAAAATTATTGTCATGGTTAGATCGATTCATTTCAAGGTGAATATATATCCACATTTATTCATTTATTAATAATTTTATCTTCATATTATCTGAAAACAGTATTTCCAATGATGGTATCGGCAGTAGGTAAGGTATACGTAAAGTATACTTCGACGAACATAATCATTTGTAGTCTGCGTGTCTCCGTATGTATTTTATATTGAACGAAATATGTTGCAACAAAGTAATAATATAAAATTAATTGCTGGTCAACGAGGCAATTTATTAGTTTTATTTAACAACTAAAAATGAAAGCAAAATATAAAATACGCGTCTAATGAAATAAAATGGAAGTATGATATTATATAATATTATAATAATAATATTCACTTATTATTACTTATTACGTATTTACTTTTTTAAAATATATAATATTAATTTTATTCTACTACTCGATTTTCTTTACTGCAGAGTTTACATGTACTCAATTTTACCTGATTTTTTTAAGTGGTGGAATTTATATGAACCCAGTTTTACCTGTTTTATTTTTCTGGCGCAGTTTACAGTAAAAAAAGGTACTTGTGGCGGAGTTTACATGCGCCCTTGACAATAAATCCGATCTATTTACTCACATTTAGTGCAAACATTACAATGTACTATGTATTGTTTTCCAAAGCCTTGTGTGCAGTTGTCATATTGTCACAAATTCGTTTCTTCTAGTTACAAATAAGAAGACGAAAGAGTTTATGTTTAAGTTTATTTTGAGAATCTTTGATTATAAAATAATGTACTTTATTTTTTAATTTTTTAGCATTTTTCACATCCAAAACAGAAATTTAATTTTACAATTTTAACATACTTGTAATATAAATAACAAACCGTCAAGTTGGTACCTATTCATGTTATATTATCAGGAATTATATAGAAATACTAAAACCTTTATTGAACTCTTTTAATCAATGTTACATAATATATTTATACGAAAATTATATTGAAAAATAAAAAACTTTATAGTAAATTTTCTAAGCGCGTGATTCAAAACTCGTAGAGAACAAAAACATTTGTTTAGGGTTCTAGGACGTTGGATCGCCAGCTTTGCGCGTGATAAAACATTATACCTGTATTACTCAAGAGCAAGGGCGGCGAGTGTTACGTACTCGTTATACGAAAACGTGCGCAACCGATGCGGTATCGATATTTTCCTCGTCAGGCGTCGAACGTTCGAAGTATGTGCGTGACTAATTCGTCCATCAATAATGGGTGGTAAGTTAAGATCTAGGGTCCTCATGCACCTTCTTTTATGACGGGACGTTGTTGAATCTGCCGCGGTCTACGCAGTGGCGCATGTTTTTTTTTTACCGGGTGACTAAATAAATTGTTCGTCGTTTTACACGAAAATTCGTTATCCGTTCGAAAAAACATTACACTTATGGATGGCAACGATACATCGAAAATATCGATATGTGAAGTCAGTATATCGTGACATTTTACATCGATACAACCTTACCGATACATCGTCTCGATATTATCGTGTCTAACGATATGTGATTAATCTCCGAGAAATCACCAATAGATATTATTACACATTAATATATATAATTTGGGATGCTTTATATAAATAAATAATAGCAAAGTTTACTATTTATACGTTGCACCACATTCCTCCTTTATTACGTCGAAATTCGATATAGATATATTGTATATTGTGTCTTCACAATGTTTTGTGTACGGCCGTATGACACATCCTCAATTATTTTTCTACACTTATAACATCCAAATGTTCCGAGAAGTTATAAAACTATAATTTTAAACTTAATATGAATTTTAAACTTTTAAATTATTTTAATCTAATATTAATTAAATTTTAAGAGTGATGGTTTACATAAAAACTAAATTAAAAAATAGTTTATTCAGATTCACCTATAAAAGAAATGTTAGAAATGTAACAACCTTACACCCCGTTGTGATTATTATTTAGTCTGTACAATAAAATAACAAATTAAAAACTATCATTTTCGTGTTCAGTATAGTTTTTAAACAAATTATTTGTTATATTATAATTTTTATTATTTAGAGGTATAATTTATTATTACCAAAATATAATGTTTTGTACATTCACAGGTGTAGTATATTTACGAGTATTTTACGTGAAATATTATCATGATTTATTAAATTTACAATGAAAACCATAACTAAAAATAATGATAATTGAAAGTGTTTTGTTGTTTAAATTTATATTGATTCAAGTTGACTTTATCGTAATTAATTTAAATTTGTGATTGTCGACCAAATCATTAGTTAACTTTATGTACTTTTGAAGGAGGTTTTAAAACAACGTTATTCCGTTTACTCGAATGTACACGATAAACATTATAACATGACGACTGCTTCTTTTTCATCTTAACGATCCTATTACCACAAGCAATTCTTCTTCTGTTTAACCTAATTTATCCATTCCGTTTCCATCCAGAAAATTTATACCATTGTCTATATAAAATCCGTCCACCTTGTATCTGGTTAAAATGGTGGTCAAATTCTAATTATAGATACTTTTTATATTTTCTAATTATTCGTACAAGACTCTGAACACTGTATTTATGCAGGTAAATTATAAGCACATACGACATTATGAGGTTAATATCTATACGATTCTCGAGAAAATCAAACAATTAAAATGTCAAACTGCTTCTGTGGAATTGTTTTAAACTCAACGCCTACGAAACATCACATTATTTACACGATGTACATATTAACATTTATCGTAACCGTGCACGTTTAATTCGGTACAACGACTGTTATTCATCAAATATGTACACAGAAAATAAATCATAAATATTGAAAGATTATTATACGAATATGAAAAGTTAAGAATAAGCGTAAATATTCAAATATGAGTACATGAATTTACATATTTATATATGGGGTAAAAACAAATGTTTGAAGGCAAGACTGTAATGTATTCTTATTGTTAATATTGTTAATTTAGTACCTTCCGAATCATACAGACAATAAAAACAACCGTGGCATCATTAAACGACTACTCAACATGTGCACGGAATAATGTACGTGACAGGCGAAGGAAAGGGAAATAATAAACTTATATTGCGTATTCAATAGGTCCTTCGGTTCTACCATACTCAAGCAATATATGCGCAGTGTTGTGTAATGTATACCCTATCTATCGTTTTCTAAGTTTTGATTCATCTTCGGTTTCATTTTCATGGTATCTGTCGCTTAAACTTTAATCATTTCGTGTGTCTTGACCACTGTTCTTAGGTCATGTTAGAAATTATCTATTGATTCGAGATCAATTTCCTTGGTGTAGAACAATATCTAATCTCTCCGAATTCTAACCGCAAGGATACTCCATTTCTCGTATCACACCCAAACACGACTCCATAATCCTTTCAAAACAATTCTTTCAAACATCGAACATTTCATTACACTTTTTATATTCATGGGTTATTGTTTTTAATAAAAGCGATTACACGTCGAATTTAAATACTCGAATATTATTCTTCATGAAACCAAATAAATGTTTAAATTATTCGGCTTTTGAACGAGTTGAACGAAGAATATTATATTAGTTTATATTTCCGATCGACAATCCGTAAATAGCGGCTATGACAAAAAAATTTAAATATTTATATTATATTTTTATCCTTAATAATAAATTATAACGTCACAATATAAGTACTTTTTTACTTTTTGTTTTACTTTTTACTGTTGTTAACGTCTTTCTGAAAATTAAATTGTAAATACGTTAAAAACATAAACGTACTAAACATAACATAACGTGATATAGTAGCATTAGCAATTTTTTCTATTTCTTACTCAATCTATTTATGTGTGTCACTAATTTCAAAAATAAATTTTATAAAATCCGATTTAATACACCGACTAACTGATGAATATAGTAACACTTGTACTTTATTAAAATATACTTATTATAAATCAAATATCAAGGAATTAATAATTCAACAAAATAAATCACATTAAGATGATAATTAATTACCAAAGTAATAAAATGATATATATTTGATTATTACATTTTTTATATTAATATTTTAATAATATTATACTATACTATATAGTATACTTATACTATATAATATAAACATATATTTATTTTTCATAAAATTTAACGACATGTTCGAGGAAAAAAAAGAAAAAAATGGGTAATTTTTGGCTCTTAAAGTCAAAATAATTTGCCACTCCTGGTATATAGGATATAACGTAATATTTTTAGTTGTCGATTTTCAAAGTCAATATTGACCAATTTTATTGATCTTTATGAAAGCGCAATAGTGTATGGCTAGAGTTTAAAACATTTCGTTGTCATCGCGTTTTTCTATTATTGTTCAAGGCCAGTTATTTTTTCATCATATCTTTTCACCGATTTTTGAACAATCAATCCAAACGTGATAACTACCTTTTGAAAATTGAAAATTACTAAATAATATACACAAAACTCACATAATATACGATAATAATGAAAATACGACGTGCTATGTGATTTTTAACATGTATTGTTGTCATATTTTGTACAAAAACATATTTGAAAATTACCCGTTTCATTTATTGCTATACTTATTATCACGTTATCATCATATATTGTATATGAACACAGAAAAAAAAGAATCAAATTAATCACAATGTAATCATTCGATTACACGACACTGTTGATAGGACTCGCATTGTTTCGTATCGCCTCTTATACGCCGGTAACGCGGCGTTCCGTGTTGGCAAAGTAAGTACACATCTGTAGTGTACAAGTGTATAATATTTTATTTGTTCCCTTTGCTACAAGTAAATAAAAGTTTTATTTTGTTGCCAACAGGCCTGTAACTAGGAAGGAGCAGTTAGGACCCAGTCCAACCGAAAATTGTCATAGTTCTGGATTGAACTTTCTACTTTTTCACGTAATAAAAATATAAAATTTTTGTAGTTATATTTTTTTATTTTATTTACATGTTCATAATCAAAATATTCTCCTGGCAAAGTGTAACTGATGACCATAAATTCAAATAAATAAAAATAATCGAGTAGGTATTACATGTGGAATTTAAAGAAAGAACACATCAGCGCAAATATTGAATGTATCTAGATATTTCCTTGATAATTTCCAATTTGTATTGCTATATTTTACTAGAAGGTCGTATTTACCATTAAGCCGAATGACCAATTACCTATGGCCTCCGTTATTTGGGAACCTCAGATTTTCATAAACCTTTTTTTATTTTTTGTTTTAGAATACAATTTGCATCATCACATAAAATAAATATAAGCAAAATATATTATTAAAAAAAAAAATCTACGTAAAATGCCACATTTTCTATTTTGCCTAAGGGCAAAAGGATGGTTGTGAATACACGGTATGTGAATGGATCTAACTGTTGGTATTTTCATTTATAAATATAATATTAACGTATTACCAAGATACATAAAATAATATTTGTTGTCTTTAATAGAAGTTGAGGCATGAAAACGATACTGCTGCGTCCACACTAATCTTAATTCTTAGAATATAATCGAATAAGTTGCATGCAGTGTAATAAAAGTGTTTTTATTTATGATAAGCGTTAATGGGTGAGTGAGGGTGGAAAGCGAAGCCTTTCTCGGGTCGATAAACTGTAAATAAATAATTATTATTTAATGCACGAGCCAAAAAATATCAGCCCACTCAAGAAATATTTCATGACTACGTGCTTGGTTGTCAAGCTAGTTCATTAAATCCATGTATGCGATTTTACGTTTTCGTGGGAAAAAATGTATTTTATTTTTAAACATTTTTATAAACTTATCATGGTATTAATTAGTTGTATGATTATGTAATAAAGTAACGTATAACTATTAGTAATTCTATATTTATAAAAAATGATTTCCGATATACTCAATCATCAACGCCTATATTAAACGGCTGGACCAAGAGACTTTTGTTGGTACATATTGCTGATGGTGTAGTGGTAAGATAAGATTTGATATGATATGATTGATATAATTTTACCTTAATTCTTCCCTAAGTGATTGAAAATAAGGGAAATGTGTTTTTGATAATGCTTAACAATTTTGAAATTCTATTTTTATTTCCATAGTATGAAAATAATAATATTAATTTCAACATTTTACTTTAATCCACCCCTAAGATAAATCAAAAGAGGTAATGATTGACTTTTTTAAGTAAGCATACAATTATTAAAATAATAATAAAAAAGAATAGAGCTCGAAACTTGCAATATTAAAAACACCATTATAAAGGCTAAGATATCCTTTAAAAGCCTTAAACATTAGAAATTAAATATATATAATAAAAAAAGTATCTTGCATCTTCAATTATGAATCTATTAACTTTAATCAATCTAACGCGTTTATATTTACATTATTTAGGTAGAATGTGACTATGGTGAGTAGATAAATGGGCTGTAATTTTTTCTAAAAGCAAAAATACTTATACGAATATTATAATAAGCATTGAATTGTAGATATTTTAAATAATGTTCGATACTGGTGTGTCCTTAATTTTTTTCTGATAAGGGAATATATGTATAATAATCATTTTTTACATAAATATGCAGTACTCTCTAACTAAAAAATAATAGTCTAAAAATGAGCAATTAGCATCATTGGTATGAGTAACAAATTTTGTTTGTTCGATAAATAATATTATGTTCAACAAAAAAAACTTGAAATTTGGAGATTAGATAATTTATAATAACTATTTTTATCTAAACAACGTTTGTTGAGTCGAATTGTTAATTTTATAAACTAATGTTATAATTTTGTTTTTATTTATTTTTTTTAACAGTTACAACTGACAGAATAATTAACCTTAACTAAAACAATATTACCTTATCTATTTTTTCTTACTAAGAAATCTCAGCCATATGGCTATCTATGCTCATTACTGTGATGCACTTGTATTTCTAATGAATATTTTTACTGTAAATCGATGTATATTTATATCGACCACCGATATTGGTTTAAATTTATTTATTCTATATTTAGTACATCATTGACATTTGTGGCATCGAAATAATTCACTTGCTTGGCTATTATAATTTCAGGAATGATTACAAAATCAATTTATATAAACTCAAAAAATAGAAATTAATACTTAAGGAGAAAAAAACATATATTTATTGAATATCCAAGTTTTTAATATTATAATATTAGCAACAGGCAAGATATCACTTAAATATAATTTAATTGATACTAATATTTACCAATCAATAATCAAAAATAAAAATAAACATAAAACACATTAATCGCTGTGGTTGTACAATAAATAATACAGCGATATTATTATTTTCATTTCATTAATTTACAAAATTCAATTTTTTTAACAAGTGCCATGTTTTTCTTAAGTGGTTATACAGAGAAATGCATAAGAACAGGGTCGTTTAATAAACTAAAAATACGATATTCCAACTCTTTAATAGTGTAGTCATAGGAAGCTCTTGGAACGCCATTTCAAATAAAAAAAAAATTACAGTTGAGCATGAAACACATAACTGGGAATACGTCGGTATTTTATAGAGTCTTTGATCAACATAAATTTCAATAAATACATATAGTATTGGAACACGAATCTTACGTCTTGTGAAGTATTATATTGTCAATATATCTATTGAAATGTGTTATTGATGTATTGATATTAATATTGTTCCAGAGAGAGAATTTTTTATTTATACTTTTTTTTTTCGATCGTTATCAAATATTATATACATCTAGTACACGTCAATGAATATTTTGATTATTCCTCGACTATAGTTGTAGTCTATTTGAAATTATTACAGAAATCATTACTATTTAGAACGGCTGGAAAATAACGATGGCCAATCGTGATGTTGCACACCGACCCCAGAGGCTTAATGATATTCTCCAGATAACAGTGAGTTTATTTTAATGTATTCGTGAATATTTGTGTTGCATTGTACGTTCAACTGAAATAAGCTTAGATGGTACTCGTCTAATATGCTATCTACCGTAAATATTTTATCCAAAGTAATTCCATGATAGTTTAGTAAGATATCTACCGTAAATATTGTATTTACTATATACTCTTATAGCATAATATACTTGAATATATTATATATACTTTATAAATTTTCAATAATTATTAAACTTAAGCTTTTATTAAAATCCCAAATTCTATTATATTTACACATATACCTTTTTATAGGGAATAGGACGATTCGGCGTAGACGTTTAGGCAATGGTCGTTTCGGCGTTAAGTCGATGATGTAATTTTATTTATATTTGTACTATATTATTATTTTGTACAATGTACTACGTACTATATCCGTACGTGTATTATTATTATTACATACTGTATTATATACATATATTATATGTACATCAAAAAATCAACATAAGATCAGTTTGAGAATTGATGTAGAAATTATCTTTATTACTTTATTCGATTAAGACAACCCGGCCGTATAACAATCGGTTACTATTTGTATCGTTTTAATTTATCTGCCGCTACGGTTGTACGAGTATATAACGTATTGTTCAGGTTAACTAATTAAATATTTTATGAATATGTCAGAAGTTAAATGTAAAAGAAATAAAAACGAGATTGTTATCGATTGGTAGAAGCAGACATAGCTTTGACAAATATGCAAGAACGAGCGATTTTAACTATGGAACCTACTTCCTGTATAATTTAACGCTTAGGAATTAACCGTGTTAACGGGTTATCAGATGCGGCAAAGGTATACAATATAATATTCGATTCATTGTAGTGATGGGCAACAATATCGACGATTCATTTCATCAAGTATTCATTATTTATAAAATTAATTTGTTTGAATGTAATTAGTCGTACAACATACTATATCGTGATAAAATATCAAAATAGTCGGAACGATATCGATACACAAAATTATATCATTCCCCATCTCTATACCTATCATCTTCTACCTACATGATTTATTGATTTAAGTTAGGTACCTAATAAATAAAATATTTTATTTTTAGGCGTTTTACAATTATCTGATGCTCTAAAACGACAAGTAAGGCGTAAAAGAAACACTAAAATAGAATCCCTATGTAATCCATTGGACTTAGTATCTTTACAAATACCAGATGAATATAAAAGTTATTCGCCATCAATTAGAGTAAATGATCGATTTTTATTGGTTGATAGTGGAGCTGGTAATGAGAAAATTTTAATATTTGGTCGACCATTTGGTTTTAAGTTATTAAAAAATTCGAAGGTTTGGTATATGGATAAAACTTTTAAAGTAACGCCAACTTTTTTTTGTCAAATTTATATGATTTTAGTTGAGTTTTTAGGATGAGTTCACCCAGCAATTTATTCGTTACTATTTAACAAAAAGGAAACAACCTATGAAAAATTATTTATTTTGGTTATTACATTACAATCTGATTTAAAACCATAATCAACTGCTCGTGACTTCGAACTTGGTGCCATAACAGCAATAAAAAATTTATTTGAAGACGTAAATATTTGCGGATATTATTTTCATTTAAGCCAACATTTTTTGAGAAAAATTGGAGACTTACATTTATTATCAAAGTATAATAATGAATCTAATTATTGTATTAGCATTCATACCATTGAGTGATTTGGATATGGCTACTGATGAATTAGTAGACGAACTTCTAGATGAGCTAATGAATAAAATTATTTTTCTTAAAAGTCTTGCAAACAATATTACTTTAAAATAACATTTCATATAGTAAGTTTTTTTTTTTTTTTAATGTTTCTTAGAATGATTAACATTTATTAAAAATGTATTTAGCAGTGATGAGAATTATTCGATTATTCGAATATTCGAATTCAAATAGGTATAGTGTAAATAATTAGAATATTCGACCATTTGAATATCAGTATTCGATACTACGATACAATACACAACGAAAATTATTTGTTTAAGTTTTTGCACCACACAAAACGTTTAATAATAATAGGTATTATAGCATCGAATACTGATATTCGAATGTTCGAATATTCAAATATTCAAATTATTTATGTTGGATCTATTCAAATTCGAATATTCGGATATTTGAATAATTATATTATTCGAATATACATTATATTTCTAGTATTTAGACTCATATAATTTTTTTTATTTCAAACTGCCTTTTTTATCGCCGAAATGATCACGCGCCAAAATATAATTTCATCAAAACATCCGTGCCAAAATATCATAGATCCCTTTTTATAATTTATCATAGGCTTCTTACAAAAAAAAAAAAAAAAAAATAAATAAAAAAATATCGTATTTGTAAATCGTTTCGATTACATATGGTTTTACTCTGATTTATTTATCTATTGTTATTTATTAATTATTATTATGAGTTTTTCAACTATGAGTTATTTATATTGATATACAATTCAAAATGAAGCGAAGATGTTTCCAATTTTTTTAAAAGTTTGTGGTTTATTTCCAACTGATCAAACATATACCAAAATTAAAAACCAAACAATTTGTAGCGGTGAGTTGAAAAAGGTTCTGAAAAATGGTCGAAAACTTGATTCAGAAGGTAATATTTTGAAAACAATGTATAATAAATGTACAAAAAAAGGGTGTACAAACATTTCACTCTAATTCACAAAAATAATAACGTTTTTACGTCTAAGGATAAAAATGGGAACTGTAACAGTGGTTTAAACATGTGCGATATCGTAAATCTTGTTTGGCATTGGCTATTTAAAATAAAGTTAACACAAGCCCAGATGTTTACGGAAAGATCAAAATGAACTTTAGTCAACTGGTAAAATTTATATCGAGACGTAACAGCAACTGAATTTCAAAACCGTAATAATATAAGAAAACCCGGCCTAATTATCCAAAAATATGAATCCTTGTTCCAAGATAAAATAAAATCGTGGAAGATTACGACTTAAAGATCGCAAACCTGAGGAAAAGTCTGATAAAAATGAAGAGAGTTCAGATGAAAATGAATATGTAATAAATAATCGAAATTACGGACAACGAGTTCAAGGGCCATGAATTTTTGGTTTGTGTTATAAGCATAATGGCATTTTAAACAGACGTTTAAAGTTAAAAACATGATTGAAATACCTTACTACCAATTATATTGAATACATTTGAACAAGGTACTATTATATATTCCGATAAATGGCGTGCGCATTATACATTTAATGAACATAGCTTTATCCATAAAAAAGTTAATCATTAAGAAAATTTCATTGGCCCAATAGCTGGTGCTGAGACACAAACTGTAGAAACACTTTTAAACACGTCAAAAATAAATATAACATTAAAACACGCAAATCGACCAACATATAGAAAAGTGGTAGCGCTCGTTACGAAAATCAGCCGAAGACCTGTTCGAAACATTCCTCAGAGCGGTCAGAAATTCGCATATAAAACTACGTGGAACCAACCACATGTAAAAAAATGACAAAGTAGAAATACTGCGTTATAAAGATCAGACAATCGACTTTTGAAGATAGCAAATACGTTTTGATATCATACTAAACCAACATAAAATTCTGTAGATAAAATATTTACGGTAGACATCATATTAAATCATTAAACGTGCGGTAAATAGCATATTGGACGAATACCGCTTAGGTACATGGCGGAGTATAAGATGACTGTCGGTACTTTCAACCGGTGCAATTTAGAATTGTATTGATCCATTCTCTAGAAATATTTATCTTTTCAAGCCGCAATTCAACGATGGGTAGGCGCCGCACTTCTCGTATCTATTACGTTTGAATCGGATCATTTGGATAATACCTTTCCCTATTGGGTATTATGCAAATTCAATTGATATGTGCGAATCGAATTTACCATCGTAGCCTTTTCGCAGGAGCAATATGATGTGGATGTTACAATAACTGGCGAAAATCCCATTCCCCAAACATAATTTATCGTCCCCCCAGATTTAACCCATAACTGAGAAAAATCATCGAATACAATCATACACAGGGACCCATATATGAACGTTGCCTAGAACGAGTAACTACATTTTTATTTAATATGTAAGTCATGTGAATCGTTTTAATGTATTCAAAATTAAGTATTTCTGAAAAAAATTACCTTTAAATGAATAATTTATCTAATAAATACGGGGTAGAAGGGGTGTTTTCAGGAGAAGAGAATCCGTTCACATACTTACGAAACATTTTAGTATACGTATTATAATAATATATTGTTTCCAGATGGAACAAAACATTACGGTTAACGTAACAAATTGTTCGGGAGTTCAGGACTTTTTAGATTCTTCTGATCACAAATATTACTAAAAGCTTGTTTTGAGTTTTTTTGCAGATTCACGAGAACAGTAAGCAGTATCAGTTATTACATCGTATCAGGTAATGGGACGAAAAAAAAAAACGAATTCATAACAGACGAGAGGGATTATACGAGTTTCTTGTGCATAGTAAATTATTTCGTTGAGACTTGTAACGGTAACGAGCCACTTAAATATTGTTAACCCTTTTGCAATTTTTCAATGGTAGTAAATGCACGAGCGATTACGTAGTAGTACTAATATGCGACTACTCGACTGTCGTTTGGTCATTTTTACCATGTATGTAATTTTAATCTATATGGTTCAGAATGTTTTAAAATTAAATCGCGAAATTTTGGGGTGGGAGGGTGGATATACTTGTACATTATCTATCTACTTTGTATACATGATGCAATTCTACAACATTAGATTACATTTAGTCACGTTCAGTATACAATCACTTATTAAAATATATTTTTATGAATATATTTGTTACGATAGGGCTCTAAACATATCCAGACTCATCCAATCGGCATGTGAATTTTTAAATTATAGAAAACATTAATTTGGAACAGGTTTTAAGTAGGTTTTGAAACCTAAATGATAAATGTTGGATTTGGTTTTAATTTTGATTTCCAGTAATCGATCTTACCGATTTCTATTTCAGTTTTAAATACTGGTTTGCAGATCTTCCATTTTTAATTTCCGTTACATTTATAGTATTATATACTTATATGTATTATGAGTTATTTTGCCATAGTCATCAATTGTTAGCATTCTATTCTTCTCTAATGTGTTAAACATATAATTTTTAGGAATCAAAATTCGATGAAATATGCCCCTCAAATGGAGAAAATCAAACCTCGAGCATTTGTTAAACAGTGCCAATAATATGCACTTATCTAACAATCAAGCACACAAGAACGACTGCGATCAGAATTATAACAACAAATAACGTGATTAATGATACTAACGATGACAGCATCAAAAACTAATAACAATAATAATAA